TGCGTGGTGGATCACGATGTGAATTTAGGATGGTGCAACTTTCAACTGGTGTGGGAATCACATCCGGTGGACTCAAGCTTAACATGGAACTTTCAAAAACTCTCACAGGATGAGGATATAACCTGGACTTTTTTTATTCTTCATTATATTACAGCCATGGAGCACACACAGGATAATATCTATGAACATGTTCAGTATCTTCTTGTAGACACGGAAATAACTTGGAGAAAAGTCTCACACAGTGCCTCATTCAGCATCGTATATCTTCTTTGGTTTTGGTTTTAGTACTTAAAGTGTATGTAAACGTTAAACCATAAATGTATTTGCTGCCTTTTGGCCTGTTAAATATATCATTGAAATTGTCGATTACTATATTTCTGTTTGACAGTGATGTTTGCGCAGCTTCATGCAGTCTTGAAATCTTGTGAGCTGATGCGTCCTGGTATCCTCTGCCTCCTGGACTCTTTAACGAGATTAGCAACTTGTTCCTGCTATCTTCATTGGACTATAAAAAACTCCCCCCTGTGGGTCGGAGAAGAGCGGGAGATGGTCATGCAGCCCCTAACACATGTAAACATGTAACTTCACTTCGACGTTAAGTAGTTGGTAAGGTTGAATGGATGCACACCTGTCTGTCAGATCTACCTGAGATTGTGTGCATGGCTACTGTTTTCCATATCCGTCGTATATTGTTGTTCTTAACTCAGGCGTTTAAATTTTGAGTCTAGAACAGGGGTGGGCCAAACTTTTTGATTGAGCGGGGCGCAAATGGGTTATATATTAGACCCGGACCAGGTGTAGATGAATGATGTGTATGTGTTATCGATAGTAAGTATAGTAATTTCCCCAATAGTAAGCATAGTAATTAATCCTCCCATAAGTAACTTAATCCCCCATAATAGTAATTACATCCCCTATATAGTATTTCATTCCCCCATAGTAATTCATCCCCCCATATATGTGTAATTCATTCCCCCCCATCCCCATAGTAATTTCATCCTCTCAATATAGATCCACCATATAGTAATTCATCCCCCAGAGTAATTATTTCGCACCCATAGTAATTCAAATTATTGTCTACCCCCATATATGTAATTCATCCCCCATAAACCGCATAGTAATAATCTCATACCCCTCCTATAGTAATTCATCTCCCCCATATAGTAATGCATCCCCCATAGTAGTAATTCATTCCCCCATAGTAATTTGCATCCCCCGATATAGTAATTCAACATACCCCACCATAGTAATTCATCCCCCGCATATAGGTAATTCACCCCTTAGTAATTCTCATTCCCGCTATTAATTCATCCCCTAGTACTATTCCTCCCTCCCAAGTAGTATCGCCAAGTCCCCCTGTGTCAATAGTTCAATTACATTTGCTCTGCTGTCGTTACCTCCGCAGTCTGTCCCGCGCCGTTCGGTCTTTCAGGGGGACTGTGCAGAGGAGCTAGCTCCCCCTCACGTTCTTTTGTCACGCTGCCACCGCCTACAGCAATCCTGACAGACGCAATGTATCTCGCTCCGCGGGCTCTGGAATTAAAGGTCCGCGGGGCGTACTGGTCCGCCGGGCCGTATATGGTCCGCCGGGCCGTATAGGCGACGAGGCGTAGTTTGCCCATTGGGGTCTAGATCCCTATCTAGCCAGGCACAAACTTAATCTCCACAGGTTGCCGACCAACCTTGCCAGGGTCACCTCAACCCCACCCTCCGGAGCTGTCCCCCAACCCCGCCCCAGCCCTTTGCCCCCAACAATGCCTTAAAGTTTATAAATAAATTTTTCTTAGAATAAAGAGTCCATAATATAATAATGTACATATCCAGTAATGTATTATCCAGCTACATGTACTCCCGCTTATTGTGCCGCTTGACATGTCTATACAGTAATGTATATCCCCTCCTCTGTCTCCATAGATAGTCGATATGGACAAGTATACAGTATTCTATATCCCCCCCTCCCCTGTATCCATTATAGTGCATACTGACATGTGTACTACAGTATGTATATCCCCTCTCCCCTGTACTCAATTTTATAGTGATTATGACATGTATACGTAATGTATAATCCCCCCTCCCTGTACTCATTATAGTTGCTATTATGACATGTTACAGTATGTATATCCCCCCTCCCTTGATAACTCATCTTTAGTGATCATGACGATGTATTACAGTTAATGGCCTCATCCCAGCCCCCCTGTACCTCTCCATTATAGTGGTATGACATGTTAATACAAGTATGTATATCCCTAAGCTCCACTGTACTCCATTTTAGTGATTATGACATGTATACAGTAATGTATATCCCAGCTCCCTGAACTCCATTATATGACGTGATATTGATAAATTTGACATTATAGTGATATGACGCTGTCTACAGCTAATCATTACTGTATGACATGTCCATCGCTATAATGAAGTACGGGGAAGCTGGGACTATACATTCTAATGATTACTGTATTACATGTCATATCACTTTAATGGAGTACAGGGGAGCTGGATATACATTACTAGTATAATGTCATTCACTATAATGGAAGTACAGGGCGCTGTAGCTGGGATACTACTTACTGATATACACGTCATGATCACTATAATGGAGTAACAGGAGGAGTGGGCCAGGCATATACATTACTGATATACCTGTTCATATCACTATAATGGAGTACAGGGGAGACTGGGATATAAGTTTACTGTATACATGTCACCTATCATATACTGGAGTCCAGGGGAGCTGGGATATTACATTTACTGTATAAATGTCATATCATTATGTAATGGTAGGTACAGGGGGAGGGGGACTATTACTATTACTGTATTACATGTCATATCCACTATGATATGGAGCTACAGGGGGGGGAGGGGGGAGATATACATTATTGTAGATACATGTCATATCTCTACGTATCTATAGCTGTGAGGTACCGGGGGAGGGGGCGTTATATACATTACTGGTATACAAGTTTGATCACTCTATAGATGGTGTGTACAGGGGTATGTACGAGCTACGGGCGCGGTGGACGACGGTGTTGTCCTTCCCTCAGAAGGGGAGGAGAGAGTTATTCTCTCCTGCACTTGTCACCCTCTGGTGGCGTGTGGATAGAAGCCGAGAAGGCCTGGACACCGTAAATAATTGGAAACTGGAGACTTCGGCTTCACATATAGAGGCACTTCTTGTCCAACTTCATTGTGTGGCCACATGTCCTCTTTAGAGACCCTTTCTTCTTAATGCTAGAATTGCTATGTAAAGATTTGTGTGCTGGTGTCATTGGAAGAAATTGTGCCCCATCGTTGGTATCAGTGGGCACCATTGTTGGCGTCATTGGGAGGCATTGTGCCCCTTCATTGGTGTTAGTGGGGGGAATTATGCCCCATTTTTGGTATCAGTGGATGAAATAGCGCTCCAAGGGCCAGATAAAAACAAGAATAGGGCCGCATCTGGCCCCCCTGGCTGCAGTTTGGAGACCACTGCTCTAGAACATTCAGAAAATTTGACATTAACCACCACCCTCTGGAAACACTTCTGCAACTGGTTTTCTATTCAGGGACATACAACATCATCAGTGTCCAAAAAAAAACATCCCCTCTGGGTGATCAATGTACTTTGCAGGGATTTTGACAAACTGTTGCAGATCCCTATCTGGTTCTGCCTTGAAGGAAAAAAAAAAAACAATTTGTTCCACTTTGTGTCTTTGAATAATAATTCTGAATGTTAGTGACTTTTTCATTAATAATCAGCTGATCCACTGGCAGGATTTTAATGAGGAAAGTTGCAATGTCAACATTAACCCTTTGGGAGAATCTCATGAAAATGACAGTGTCAGTGATTAACCCCTTGGGAGTATCTCACCAAAAATGACATTTTTGTTGCAGAGGATGCATAAAATCTGACTTGCATCTTAGTGCAGACTTCTGGGAAAATCAGCGAGTCAATCACACAAGCAGGAAATGGCATTTCTGGGGAAATTCTGTACACCATCTGTGTAGGGAATGCCTCCAAGTTGCCACATTGAATTGAATTTTACAGAAAAGTACAGCACCACAGATTGAAAAAGAGTGGCAAATTTTCTTGTTCAAACATTTTATTGATTTAAACAGGGAAGAGTAGAGTAGATGAGACAATAGAGGTATACATTTCTCATACAATAAGTTATTCCAAGGGTACAAAATTGGATGTCCGAAACAGTAACAAGTGAAAACCAATATGTGAGGGATGTGAGGGGGGGAAAAAAATAGGGGAGGGTATGCGGCTAAGAGGAGGAAAACGTAGGATTTGTGGGGGGTGGTACCAGTGTAGCTTGAAGTGTTTGTTATAGAATGAGAAGAGAATTATCAAAATTAGGCGGTAGAAAGTGTTCTACCCCAGGGGATGGTATCTAAAATTGTGGCTTCTACTTTTGCGTGAATCATAGGCTGGGTTACCTTATTTTGAACTTCTGTTACGTTTAGCGAGGGAGATTTCCAAGATTTGGCGATTACCTGTTTGGCTGCTGTGGTAACTTGCAGGATAAGTTTAAATTGTAATTTTGTGATATCAGGTTGTCGTAAGTTAGGTAGTGCAGTTAGTGGGCTAGGGTGGAGGGTTTTTGCACTTAGTAAAGAAAGCATTCTAAAAACTTCCGTCCAGAAACCTTGGACGGTTGGACAGTCCCATGTATGGAAAAAAGGGCCCAGGTCTACGCAGCCTCTGAAGCACGCCGAAGGGTAGTTGGGGATGTACTTCGCTATTCTTGCTGGTACTAAGTACCAGCGGGTCAGGACTTTGTAAGAGAGAGGCAATTTTTAATAACATTCAATTATAATATGGCTCATGTAGCAATTGTATATGCCGTATATATATATATATAATTTTTTCTTCTTTTTGTGCTCTATTTTTTCCTCGTTTGTGGTGTTTCTCTTTAATTTACATATAGTAAAATATTATCAATAAGAACGGTGTATTATTTTATATGCTTTTCAAGTAACAAGTTCTTGATGCACTTATTTGTACAGGTGAAGAAGAGATGGAAATCCTTGTAAGGGACAAAGGTGTCAACTCGTTTAAGATGTTCATGGCCTACAAGGACTTGTACATGGTTCATGACATTGAGCTGTTCCAGGCATTTACTTGCTGCAAGAACATTGGGGCCATCGCCCAGGTGCATGCGGAGAATGGCGATTTAATTGCAGAGGTAAAAGACTTTAGAATAAAGATGGTACAATAATGACATCTGGTGGATAAACTAAGAATTACTTTTATACAGTAGCAAAATAAAAAAAATAAATGTGGTCATAAAATTCTTCTGGGTTTATATTTAAAGCTGAACTCCAGGCAAACTGCCAAATACACAGAAGAAAATCATATGTAGTACTGCCTTTCCAATGGATTTGTAATTCTGTTCAGGCATTTTTGTGATTTAGGGCACCATGGACAGCACAGCCAGGTTTCTGACCTCACTTTTTCCAATATAGTTTTAATGGTCACCATTCTTCTTTCTCGGCATCTTGATAGATGCAATATATCAATACCTGGTAGGCTTACAGTCCGGCTCCTTCCAGATTGCAGTGCAGAAGTTTACTGAATGCTAATATAAAGGGTCTATTCACACCAGATGTGCTTGCATGCATTAATCAATACATTGTAGTTCACACCAGTGCACCATCTTGATGTGCAATGTCCTGCACTGAAAAAAAATTAGAAACATGTCCTACTTTTTCTAAGCACAGCGCATGCATACGTATGTAAGTGCACCACAATGTAAACAGTCTATTGAAGATTCCTTTACAAATAAAGAAGAAAGAAGAAAAGCCTAACTATATGTATTCTTAAAAATCCCCTCCCCAACGTATCCTATGCCTAACTTGTATACCAAACTGATAAGAGGCATGGAGGAGCTCAGCTATGAGGAAAGATTAGAGGAACTGAATTTATTCTCTTGAGAAGAGGAGATTAAGGGGGGATATGATCAACATGTATAAATACATCAGTGGTTCATATAGTGAACTCGGTGTAGAGTTATTCACCCTGAGGTCATCACAGAGGACAAGGGGGCACTCTTTACATTTGGAGGAAAAGAAATTGAATCTCCAAACATGGAAAGGTTTCTTCACAGTAAGAGCTGTGAAAATGTGGAATAGACTCCCTCAAGAGTTGGTTCTGGCCAGCTCAGTGGATTGCTTTAAAAAAGACCTGGATTCTATCTTGGATACACAGAATATAACTGGATACTAACGTTTATAGGTAAAGTTGATCCAGGGAATATCCGATTGCCTCTCGGGGGATCAGGAAGGACTTTTTTTTCTCTACAGGAGAAAATTGGATCATGCTTTGCTGGGTTGTTTGCCTGGATCAACTGTGGGTATAGGATTATAAAAAATTTTTTTTTTTTTGGTTGAACTGGATGGACGTTTGTCTTTTTTCAGCCAGACTATTTATGTATAAAAAAATATATTTACCTATTTTCAGTCTGCTTGAATCTGGTCATGTGATCCTGTAAGCTCTGTGTAAGGGAGTGCTCGACAACAACTGTGAATTCTGGGAGCCATGATGTCACCCATAGGCTCCCATAGTCCAGCCATTGTCAGCGTTCTCTTCTCTCCGCTGCAGCATCCACTCACTGACACTGGGGAAATGGAGCTGCAGGATCAGGTGACCCGACCCGAGCTGATTAAAAACAGGTAAGTGAACAGATCATTTATATGCAGGCTAGGCAGGATATGTAGGAAGGGGGAGGGAACATTTTATAGAATAGATATAGTTAGGTTTTTCGTCCACTGCAATGAAGCTTAAAAGGAAAAAAAAACAGCAATGCAGCATAGCAATGCATTGCAATGCAATTACATGCGCTTAATGCATAGATTGCAGTCTGAATAGAACCGCAGAGTCCAATATCTGTACTAGCTATATTTAAAGCTAAATTCCATATAGATTTTAAAAGGACAATATAATCCAGTTATATATTCCTTAAATGTATTTATATGTAGAACTAGCACATCTCCATAACTATGTCTTAATGGCATCCTATACTGCAGTACTCAGATAGGAAGAGACTATGCTCTTCCCCAATCACAGCTCCATGACTCTGGACATTATTGTCAGTTAAGAACTGAATATTTTAAGGGAGAACATACTGATCACAGGAGTGGCTGATCAGAATATTTTAGCAGATAATATAGTCCAAATATAAATGTTGTAACTGTGTGTATACCACTTACCTGAAGTGCAGCTTTAAAAAAATAATGTCTGATATTTCAATGAGTACATAACACGAAAAAATTGTAATCTTTCAAATTTGCACAAAGTTTATAATTTAACCTGTTTTGCCACCTTTAGTCTTATGCAGGGCAGAGACAAAGGGTGGGCAGGAGGGGCGGCTGCCCTGGGCACTGTGGTATTATGTGAGGTTGGGGGGCACCACAAGGGAGGGGATTTGTGTTGGGAGGGGGAATTTGGGGGGCAGCAGGAGGTAAGAATTGTTCTAGGAGGGGAAATTTGGGGAAATGTGCTAGGAGTGGTGACTTGGGGGGGGGGATTTGAGTTGGAAGGAGGGAAGAGGATTTGTGCTAGGAGGGGAATTTGTGCTAGAAAAGGTATGGTGGGGGGAGGGGATTGGTGCTAGGAGGGAAATTTGTTTAGGTGGGGTGGGGAGGATTGTGCTAGTAAGGATGATTGGGGGAGGGGGAGTATTGTACTAGGAGAAATCCTTTGGGAGGGGGGATTTGTGCTAGGATGGGTGATTGGGGGAGGGTAAATTGTAGCTGGAGGGGGAATTTGAAGTGGGTGGAGAGGATTTGTGCTCGCAGGGAAAATTTGAGGGGCAGCGGATTTGTGCTGGGGGTGGGGGGTGGGAGCATATGGGGAGAGAGAGAATTTGAGCTGAGGGAGTGGGCAAAGATTTGTACTGGGAGGAAGGATTTCACCAGGGGGGCACATTTGTACTGAGAGGAGGGAGAAGTTATGATTATGGGGTACGCTTGCAGACTAGTGATTGATTTCTTTTTTGGGGGGGGGGATTTTTTCTGACAGATAATGCTCAGAACATTGTGGGGGGTGCAAATTGGCATGTTTGCCCTGGGCTCTAGCTGACTTTATCCTGACACTGGTCTTATGAATAGGTACCCTAAAATGGAACTCCAGTTTGTGCAATATTGTTCTGTAACAAAGTGTCCTTGCTATCTCCTACTGATACAGGACCTTTGGGGTTAAGTCATTTTTATTGCTGTTTGTGTTTCCAAAGGGGAGATTTCCCCTCCCTTCCTGTCTGGGTACAATGTTGTCACTGGGACAGACCATGAGGAGGATGTTGGAACAAATGCATATTTCCTTATTGTACATTGCAGGATACAGAGCAGTCCTATTATTCCTTATTCACAGCGTTATGCACCATCTACAGGCGATTGCACACTGGAAAAAGGCCAGAAGCCCCCTCCTGTATAACCCCTTCCATACAGAAAGGTGCGCAGTTTTTGCCAGTACTTGAATGTGATGGTCACTGCTGTGTGATTTTCTACACAACAAGGCCAGATTCTCTAACAATTCTTTCATGATCTAGGAGACTGGTTGGTATCCGGATCCATCTCCATGGCTATCACTGCTCAGCAGAACGGTGCCTGTTCCCTGCATCGGATGCAAAGTGAGGATGGCCTGTAATGTTGCCGATCGTCACTAGACCTTGTATATACAGAACACAATGCAGTAGAAGGACAAATGTCTTTTCCAGTAGGGTGCTATACAGGTCCAGAGCAGTGAACCCAAACTGGAGGATGAAGTAATTGAAAGGCCCCCTGAGGCACAGCCCACTGTGAAGACTGTTCCCCTTTTTGAAGGAGATGTGTCCTGCAGCAAGAGTGGAAAGTGCCGCTGTAGTCTGCTGGTACCCCTGGATGGCAAGGCCCCTCTCCCTCTTTGTGGCAGATGTATTGTGACTAAAACCTTTCTTGTCTGGTAAAAGTATTTCCAGTTTTTAAGGATGCTTCTGACAATTATCTTGAAACCTTTTCAAGGCATCTTTTGCCTTGGAGGATACTGCATTGCAGATGGCTATTGGTGTCTGCCAGAGCCTTAATGTTGCAATAAGATATCTGTCCAGGGGACTAGATTCCACAAGCAGTGAGACTGACTTGGGTGAACATCTGGTGGATTCTCCTAGGGCTCCTTGATTTGCTGTGGATGCCCTGAGGGATTTCACAATTTTGGGAGATTTTACATTTGGGACTTTTGTTTATACACATGTGCAGGATTCTTATGCTAATGTGTTGGTCTATAGAATTCCCGCAAGAAGGTGTTGGCAAGCTTTCATTTTCATGGGTAATGCTTGTTTGGACCTCCAAGGCGAAGCCTCAATCCTAGCTCCATGAAAAGTCCAGGACGTCCAAGCCAGCAAAATTGGACTCTAATGCCTCCTTCTAATGAAGGCCCCCCCCCCCCCCCACACACACACACACACACACACACACACACACACACACACACATACACACACTTGTTTTGATGTGTGGGAGTGTTTGCAGGCTTTTCAGGAGGTATGGCAGAGGAAAGGGGAAGATAAGTCGGTCCACTGTACATTTGCTCATGCTTTCATGCTGTAATTCAAATTTTTTTTCCCATGTGCACTTTATGCTTTCGATTGTTACTATGAATCTGAAAAAAAGAATGATGCTTTTTCAGGCTCTTCTTCTGTCCCAAAGAGTGATCATTCCAGTTCCAGAGAATGAAAGGTTTCACTGTTTCTATTTTAACCCCTTTTTGTGGTTCTGAAGACAAATGAAAATATTTGTCCCATACTGGATCTCAAGTATCTCAACAAGTTTCTCCAGGTATGAAAGTTTTGAAAGGAAACAGTGCATACGGCGGTAGCCTCCCTCCATTCAAGGTATTTCCTGGCATTAGTGAACATAAAGGATGCTTATATACATCCAAATCTTTCCTCCTTATCAGAAGTTTCTTCGGTTTGTGATGGAGGACCAGTATTGTCCATTTGTGTCTCTTTAATTCTGGCTCCAAATATAGGGCTCTTAAAGACCTAGGGGATGCCTGTTCTGGGGCACCTGGATCATCTGCTTCTCAGTTGGATCTGTTGGCATCCAGGTTCAATGTAAAACAGGACAGGTGGACTGTCCTTGGACTCTTCCAGTTCAACAAGACCTCCTCTTGCAAAGTTTGATTTTCCATCCTTCTTTCAGGTCGCTGGCTTTAATGACATGGCTATTGAAGCGAGAATCTTGAAGGACAGGAAAGAGTCTGATGCGGTTATCCCCATGCTTTTGAGAGCCAGGAAGACTACTTCAAGGAAGATTTATAGCTGTATATTGGCCTTTCTCCAGATGGAGGTTTATTTGTGACTGCCCTTGAGTATGATCAAAGGGCGGATTTCCGCCTTGGCAGTCTTTTTACAGAGGCCGTTTACTTCTCATTCCTTGCCGTTAGAGTGTCAAGTGTTAAATTCTTCCAGTCAGGCCACCTTTGACTCATGGGATCTTAGGCTTGTTCCTTCTGTCCTACTTGATTTGAGCCTATTCATGAGCTTCCCATATTGTTTTTTGACAGGGAAGGTTGTGTTCCCGGTTGCCATTACTTCGGTTTTGGAACTAGTGTCTCTTTTTTGCAAGGAGCCATTTCTGAAACTCCACTGTTTTTTACCTTTTTTTTTTTTTCCAGGCCTCAGTCACCAGGGTACAACACCCTCTACACTTTAGATGGGGTTCAGGCTATCGGGATGTATCTGAATATAACAGCTGACGTCAGACAATCAGACTCTCTATTTGTTTTTCCCAAAGGATGAAAGAAAGGTCACGTGGCTGCCAAGTCTTCTATTTCCCATTGGATTCATCAGATTTTCTCCCAAGCTTATGGTTTGAAAGCAAAGGCTCTGCCTTTTCCAGTGATGGCGCATTCTACCAGAAGTGTCGGTGACTCCTGGGCTATCTGTCATCAAGTTTCAGTGGCTCGAGTTTGCAAGGCCACAACCTGGTCTTTGATTCACACCTTTACAAGAATTTCCAGGTGGATATTAGACCCAGTGAGGAAGCAGCCTTTTGTCTCAGTGTTTTGCAGTCTGCTAAGTGAAATTTGTGTTGGCTATTGAAAAGTAGAGCTGCTCTATGTCCCATGATGTGCAATAAAGAAATCTGGATTTTTAACTTATTTGTAAAATCTATTTCTTGGAGTACATCAGGGGACACAGAGACCCTCCGCTCTATGTTGGGGTGTATGGCTTTCTACAAAACTGAGGACCTTTCTATGGGAGGGGTTATATAGGAAAGGACTTCCTGTCTTTTGCCAGTGTCCAAACACCTGTATAACCCAGTAGGTAAGGAATAATAGAGCTGCTGATGTACTCCAAGAAATTAATTGTACAGATAAATCAAAATCCATTTTTCAGTAGTTTTTTAGACAGGGGGAAGGCTAGCATCTCCATTTGTTTCTTTTGAATCCAATCTATGTCCCTGTTGAAGATTTCCCCTCACTCACTGTCCCAGTGATACTATTGTCACCAGGAAAGGAAATGAAAGAAAATGATTTCAATGGAGTCATACACAACAGTAAACACCTTACAGGAGTCCTAACCCCAGACCACTTATAGGGTGAATTACATACTGGGAATCTGTTTTGTTGTAATCTTCAGCTATGGGCTCTCTCCATTTACACATATTAATAGACCATTTACCTTTGAAGGGAGCAAAGAGAATGCTGTCCCTGGGAATTACGGGTCCGGAGGGCCATGAATTGTGTCGCCCAGAGGAAGTGGAGGCTGAAGCTACTCAGAGGGCCATCACTATCGCCAACTCAGTGAACTGTCCACTCTTTGTGGTTCACGTGATGAGCAAATCCTCGGCCAAAATCATTTCAAATGCCCGGAGGGAAGGTAAACTCTCTAAAACAATTGTAGTCTCCATATCTTAAAGCATATATAGTATAATATATAGAAAAATGTAATAATAACTGTGGTTCAGTAAGTTCAATAAGTCGCTTTTTGGATTTAAAATGAACTACCGAAATCCCTAAATACAACCACTGGATTTCTATTTGCTCTTTTTGCAATGAAAGACTAGCTGATATGGCTGCTGTCAACTATCCATAAAAACAAACCCTTAAAGGATTAGTCCACCTTGTGGTAATTTTTCATGTTACACCTTTTTATCAGGTATTATGTGAAACGTGGGGATTTACTACAACTGGAGAGTGAATATCTGGTGCAGATCTGCAAAGAAACCAATCATTTGGTTTCCTGCAACCATGGGTTGTCTGTCCTAACAAAGCATTAGATATCAAGGACCTGGGGGTTAATGCACTTAAAAAAAGAAACTGTTCCTCAGTAAGTCCCCCGAATGCACATTGCAAGCTATTTTAAACAAGAAAATCTGCCTATTCTGCTTTAAAGAAACAACTAGAAGAAATACATTTTTAAAGTTGTTTTTGGGTATGCTGTGTGTATGAGGACACATAACAAACATATATCAGGGTTTCTCAAATTTCACTGAAAAGGTGAAAGTACAATATATTTGAATTGGTATTAAACCCCAAAACAAAAATGTAATATAATGCAGCTTAATTGTCAGGACAGCATTCATTTTCTTTTCCTAGGCTTTATTCCCTCTGTTTTCACTTGGTGATCTATCCAGTAATACACCTCCTTTATTAGAGTGCCCCCACTCTGGATGAAGGAGCAACAGAGACACCTTTGGACAACAGTATTGTCAGTTAAGGGGGAGGGGAGTGTTATATGGACTAGCAGATTTAAATACACTAACACATTGAATAAAACTGATCATTGTAAGAACCCCTGACAGTGTTACATAGTTTTTCTCATTTCTGTAACTGATATATTCTGCTGTAGAGCTTGTTCTTTTAAAAAAAAAAGCAACAAACTTACTGGTCAGATCACCAGGTTAAAATAGTAGAAAGCCTAAAACCTGTTAAGCTGCAATATAATAAATGTTTGCTTGCCTCATGTAGACCACTGATTGGATTATACTACTGAGTTTTCTCAGAAACCAACATTTGTTACTATGTACTACATGACTTCATAATATGCAAAGCTTTTCTATAGCTTTCTGATGTTTATATGTGTTCTGCTTTTTATAAATAAACATCAATTGTTTACAAAAAATATAAATGTTTGCTTTTGGGTTTAAAACCACATTAAAAGTATTACTAAACCCACAACAGTAAAATCAGTCTGTATTTGCAATAAAGCATGCTTGTTATACTCACTGTGGAATCTAAAGGGTTAATCCTCTGCACTGTGTAAAAAGGCTGTTTGATCCTGTCTTCTCTGATCCTCCCCTTTTTCTACTGTCCCCATTCCATCTGCTGATAGTACAGAGCTCAAGGAGACACTCTGCACATGCTCAGTTTAGTATGTATTGCTAAAGAGGTATTTTTTTCTCTGGGAGGGTACATGTGATCAGCACAGGGCCAATAAGCGCTGTCCAGACAGAGGGTCAGGGGTTATGCAGCCTCATAGGACAGTTAGCAGAATGAAAACTCCTCCAAGCTTTAACCAGTGCTTGGCCAGACACTGATAGAAGTCATATATCATAGTCATATGCTATATACTGCTGAAGAGAAAAGGTATTCAACAGTTTATACTAAAATAATAGCATTTCCACGTTCAGTGGGAGACCAGATATAGTGAATGCTGGGTTCTGGGTTTAGTAACACTTTAAGTGATATCTTGTTGTCCATGGTCCTGAATATTCCGGCTGCTGTCCAAGGTGCTGCAGAAAAATCCAAAGGACGTAATGGAATCGGCGCACAATGTTTACCTCTGAACCTCTACAAAATGGATCATATTATCTATTAGAATACCTTGCTATTAGAGCATTGATTCAGCAAAGTCTACAACTTTTTGAGTGTCATTAGTAGCTAAAGACTACTGTTGTCGCAGATCCAAATATATCATAAATGTCTCCTATACCGGGATTTAAAGGTTTTAGATTATGAGCTGCACTTAGTTTCTTTAATGTAGTTAAATAAAGCACACTGCAATCCAGAATATTGACTTATTAACATGATGTTCCCGAGCTGAGGCAGCACTTCTGAAATCTGTAATATCATAATGGAGATGTCTTTAATCTGTCACCAGAATATTTATATTAAAACCTGGAATGTAAATTAAACATCGCGACAAAGCTGGATATTGGATTAAAGCTAAACTCCAGGAAGAAAGAAATAAAAATGGCAATTAATGCTACAAGGTGTAATATGTATTCCTTAAAGCAGTATTAAAAGTGTTTTTGGATGCGGTGTAAGTAACTTGGTATCAACCCTTCAGCTCTAGGAGCCAATCAAATTCTGCTCCATGACGTGCTGGCAATAATGATTTTGACAGAAGAGATGAGCAGAGTGAGCAGAGGTAGTAGCTTATTAGTTTGCTGTTGCTCCTTCATTGTCCAATCATAGGCTGGGAGCACTAAACAATATCTTTAATCTCTAAAAATAATCAATACACATCCACTACTTAATGTAAAACCAGCATTTCATATTCCTGATATGTGCCTGCTGTACCATGTACTTGTATGAAAAAATATTCTGTTATCATTATATGTATTGCTTCCTTTGTTTGAAATCCCTGGTGTTCCTGTCACTCCTGCTTACCTATTAAAAGCTGGCCACACTAAGCATGAGAGCACAGCGTGGTCAGATTTCTAGCTGTGGTCAGAACTGAGCCTGCTCTATTCCAATTATCAAACATGTCCAGACATGCCCCTCCTGCACAGCCATTCACTGGTAAGACCAGTGTACTGCTGTTTCACCTCCCCCAGCTCTCTGAGCTCCTTATGTAGCTGAGAACAGAGGGTATGTGATCACTTATAAAAAATTATAGAAAAAGGCATTCATACATTTTTTTATATCTATTCACAAATGTTTTGCCTTTCATTTCTATTTTAAACTGAGTGGGTTGTTTTATAAGGTGAGGGTTCACATATATTTTAATGGTTCTGTAATTTGTTTTCCCTAAAATTATTTCCTCACTTCTGTTCATTTGGAATGAGCAATGTTGTGGTATAAAGGATGGTGGACCTCCATGACTGATTTCTTTGGATGGGGCGAAACGCGTTGAGGGTGGAGGCTGCTGGAGCTGGGCAGAGGTTGCTTCTACTATAGTGACTCTTGGGTCCTGATGGTATGCGGCACTCATGGTTGTTTCCTTCCTTTTATACTACATGCATTGAGCCAAGACAGACTCTCCCCAGCCTGCACCCTCAGCATGAATCACCAGACTGAGATACATAGGAACCTTAAAGAAGAGCTCCACCCAAAAGGGGAAGTTCTGCTTTAAGGACTGCTCCCCCGCGCTCCCCATTAAGGATTGGCACCTTTTGGGGGGCGGGGGGGTGAGCAGGTACCCGAATTTGACAGATACCCGCTCCCACTTTTGGCCCAATCCTCTAGGCGATTGGAAGCGGAAGGTGTCCTCCCTCCCTGTACTCTTTTGGAACACGTGACAGGCCCCAGAAGACTACAGGACCATTCATGAAGCCGCAAGCTATCACAGCCGGGTGCCCACATTGAAGATGCGGAGGACACACCGTGGGACAGAGGGACAGGTAAGTGGCTGTTTTTTAAAAGTCAGCAGCTACAGTTTTTGTAGCTACTGACTTTTATTTTTTGACTGGTGAGTGAAACTCCGCTTTAAGCAGCACCCCTCAATTTTCCAGTGTGGGTTGACAGCACGTTAGTTGCAGTTATGTGCACTGCTCTATGCATGCTACACATCCCATAGTTCAAAGTCCCTAGTCCATTTCAGGAGGGAGCAAGAGAAAGTGGCTATGTTCCAATGCAGAGGGACCATAAGGAACAAACATAGCCACCCTCTAACAGGGAGTCAGATCACAGCAGCAACAAAAAAGGAATTTGGAAATATGAAGGCGGCTGAGAGCTATAGAAGATAGTTCTTGTTGAGTTAGGAATACGTACTTGAATAGAATTTTTGGTGCTTGTTCAGAAATGCTCCACGCAGATGCGCGCAGGTTACACTAATTCTTAATGACACCCTACGCACCTAACAAACACGTGTGCATTTGCAGCTGCCAAAGCGCATGGTACCACATTTAAAATGCAACGTGAAGAAAAGCAGAAAAAAAGCATGCACTCTCAGACACACCTCATGGTGTGAATGGGCCCTCAAACCAGAGTTTAGGGTCCTTTTAACTGCTCTAGAGAAAAGACAAGTCACAAAACTCACTCTGCAGTCTGACAGAGCTGTGCAAATATCAAGACTGGATGACTGGAAGTGCAAACCATTGAGTAGGTAAAAGAACTCCCATAGATGTTATTAAATTGTGTATTTAGATAATTCCCCTAGACCCAGATGCACCACGAATCTCCTGATCCGCCCACCCTCCAGAGGAGGAGCTGGTCTTCCACACCTAAAATCATATTACTAAGCCGTCATACTAGACCAACTCTTTTTCTGGTGGCATCCTACCACTGAGAAAACTTGGACCACTATAGATAATTCCCCAGAGTTTAGCTTTAAAGTGTATTTCCACTTGTGCAGTCAAATTTAAATCCCTCACTGTGTGTTTGTTATGTGCTCCTCTTTATACAGCATACCTAAAAATATTTGTGTAAATATTTCTAACCTTTCAAGGTGTTTCTTTGCAGCAGATTTATTCATAGGACTCTATAGCTTTCGTACAAGCTATTATAAACATTTCCAAAGTGCAACTAGAGGGTTAAACTGAGGGAACGTACATAAACATATGATAGGATGTACTATCAAAGCCTTACATTTCTTCAACCATTTTTTGGGACGGACAGTGTTCAAATCTAGTTTGCAACTGATTGTGAGATCTGCTAGCACAGTACAAACAGAGTTAATTATGGTAAATTCATTATGATAAATGCCCATCCTCCTCTCCCTAACAGTACAGAAAAGGGGAAAACTGGGTAGATAAGTAAAAAAGCAAATAAAAAAGGCAATTGGCCATTATACTTATCTGAAAATACATATTTAATTTCTGATATGAATCTTTAAAGATCCATACATGACTGCATTTTTAAACAAATTTGTATCTATTGTTGGTATCTATGTTTTTGTCTGTACAAATTCTCTTATCATTGATCTCTGCAACATTGTTATAAAGTCAGGAGCAGTGTGTACTCTGGGGTGTTATCACTGCACCAATGACATTTCAAAATCTTCCAGCAGATGGCACTGGTGAGGTTATCCAGGACGTAACAATCACTATGTTCTTATACTGAAGCTTGGTGAATTGGATCTTATGTCATATTTAATATTAATAATACACAATATTTTCTGGCTACTAAAACTGTGAAAAAAGAGCTTCACCTTACAATTATAAAATATCACTATAAAGCAAGTCATCATTAAAACAGACCTTGCATAAAAGTTATGACAGCACCCACCCCCTCATATAAAAAACCTAAAAAAAAAACAAAGGGTGTCAAAAATGAGACTTTGGAAAAAAAAGTTTAAAATATCTTGAAATCAAAATTTATTTTATTTCCTGACACCACCGTGACATCACCATGCCTCACTACTGCCTTCCAGGAAAGCTGGCCTTTGGAAATTCTTCAAGAATGCATTTCTACTGGTAACATTGCTTGTGAGTTTACTGCACAGTGTACAGGAGAACAATGGATTAATGGCAGGATCAACAGTTTTTGTTTTTTTTTTTAAAGGGAGCAAAACATAGAAGTTCATTGTGAGTGCTGGTTTTATTAACTCAAAAGGCCCATTTACCCAAACTTGATATTCCACAGACAGACACCAGCAGACGAAATCATACCATTACAGCACCAGCAGAAGCAGTCCCATACAACTACATAAAATAAGTTGTGTCCTCATTGGACTCTGGTCCATAGAGGATCATACAGTAGGGACAGGAGGAGCATTCATATAGGATGTTGTAGCTAGGCAAAAGTTGCATGAGGGATGTCAGGATCCCTATGTGGATAGAAGGGATCTCAGGATATACTATATGGCTAGACAGCTAGGACAGCTGACAATCACACCTACCAATACAGCCAGAAGGAGACCCCTGAAAATGACTGAGCTCTGGTTTTTCAAGTTACAAAGTATGCCTTGCAGTGGGGCAGTGTATGGGTTAACTGCTTGTTTAGTCTAGGGGAGAGTAAAAGCACTTTGCCAGTTACTCTGCTCCCCTGGCAGATGGTGCTCCCTCATGCTTCGGAGGTAGACTGTCCCTTAGTGTCATATCCATTGCAGCACTATGAACCCTGCTTTGGTCTTGATGATGCCAGGACCTTAGACCACAGGAGCACGGGGGAGAAGACTCTGCAGAGACCAGTCTAGCAACGCTGAGGAGCAGAGGATCAGGTAAGTAGCAATTAAATAAGAAACTATAAAATTAACTCCACTCTCGCGCTCAGGTTATTGAGGTCATTGAATGTAAAGATCCATCTCCAAAGAATGTCTCTGTAGGCACCCACTAGTTGTTATGTGTACGGCTTGTGTATCTTTGACATGTAATTACAGAGGAGAGAGATTGGCTGGCCAGTCGCACTAGTGGCATGTATCTGACAGGCTCTAAAGGTGGAAGGAGAGACTGGCAATCGCTCAGTGGAGCAGTATGAGAAAGTTGGAGAAAGCATGCAGGTTGCTGTGGCCAAATTTTGACAGATTTCAGGGACATGGCCTCCTTTTTCAAGTATGCTTGAAAAAGAAAGTCACACCCCCAAAACGTGTCGTTTACATTGCCAGTCTCTCCGTCCACCTTTGGTGCCTGTCAGATATATGCCACTAGTGCAGCTGGCTTCCCCATCTTTCTCTCTCCTTTCTGACTCCGTATCAGGACAGGGTGAGGACACAAAAGTTGTACACATAACTAGTGCACTAGGGATGCGCTTCCCTTGCGTCCTTTTTTTTTTTTTTTTTGTAAAGGATAATTTTTACATTTCCCTGATCTGGACTTTTAGGAGTACCTTTATTGCTACAGCACGCATTTTAGACATTTGCATGCTTCCAACCTTCTGGCAACACTTTGAGGAGGCCCCTTTTCTGTTCCAATATGGCTTTCTTCTGTTCTGCCAGTACAGTGTGTACTCAAGTGGCTTGTACTGAGCCCTGACCCCAACCCCACTAACCACCTTTAGGATAAATTGGAAAGCTATTTGCGAGGGAGGTCTTCTCATCCAGCATCCGTCCATACCTTACCTCACAAATGGACAAAAATGCCCACAGACACACTCCAAGATTCTGTGGATAGACTTAGCAGAAGAGCAGAAACTATTGAGGTCACAACATGGGGGCCAATTCCATTTTAATGACCATGGTTTTGGAATGGGATGTCCAGTAAGTTCATATAGGTGTGAGGTGAGGTGCCTACAAACATTTGGCCATATACTGTACTTTTTTATTCAAAGCTATCATGTAATTTGACTTTTGTTCCATTGATTCATGTGACGAATTAATTCTATTTCAATCATTGTTATTGGTTTTACAAATAAAATGTTTTTAAGAAAGAATAAAAAAACTGCAGGCAGTCATGGCATAATAGATCGACATTGTTAACAAGACCAGGTGACAAGTGAATTCTGATAATAGGTCCACTTTAATATAATCACACTAAAAATGTAACAAAAATCATCAAAAGACTTTGGGTCCTTTCACACGGAGTGGGCCCATTTAGCGGATCCGCTTGCTCAGCGGGGGACCTCTCCGCTGATCCCTGCTGAGCAAGCAGATGACAGCTCTGTGTCTGCTCCACTGCTGCAGAACAGACACAGAGCTGCTCACTTTCCTCAATGGGAGGTCAGATGAAAACGGACCGCCTTTCCATTTCATCCGACCTGATCCAATGGACAGAAGGGGAATTGGATCCCTATCTATCCTTTTTGGCACATCGGATGTCGGCGGGTGTAAACGGACACATAGTTACATAGTTACTGTGGCTGAAAAAAGACAAAAGTCTATCCAGTTCAACCACTTAAAAAAAAAAAGTTATAATCCTACACCCACAGTTGATCCAGAGGACGGCAAAAAAAACCAGCAAAGCATGATGCAATTTGCTCCTGCAGGGAAAAAAATTCCTTCCTGATCCCCCGAGACACATGTCCGTTTACACCCACCGCTCCATAGAGGAGAATGGAGGTTCTGATCGGGTCCGCATGAAAAATGGGCAGGCGCACCAGATCGGAATGTCCATGTGAAAGAGCCCTTAGTAATGTGTGAGGGGATGAACACCGCTCAAGACCGATCCCCAGGAGTCAGGCTACAACACCATGTAGTGGATGGCCTCTGCCGCCACTCCAGCCACCGCTTCTGACACGTTTCACCCCCGCCCATAGGGAGCTTGGTCACAGAGGCTTGAGCGGCTTTCACCCCCACACACATTACTAAGTCTCTGGAGTAACTTGGGATGCTGCTCCCTTCTCTTTTCTCTGCCGGCAGGGTGACTATAATCTATAACTAGCCTTGAACAGCACCAGAGGCTTTCAAACAGTCCAAAAAAACATTAACAAAATCAACATTAACAAAAAGTTTGGTCCTCATTTCTGAAAAATTCTGAAAGTGCAATGTTACCCCATACCATGCAAAGAGACTCCAGCTGTTATTTGTCTACTAGTGGTTTAAAATAGAAAAGGAGAATCTAATTGGTTCTGAAGGGAGGACCACAACTTCTTTTTTTCGCACACACTTTTCAAAATGTGGATAATTTTATCCAATCCCAGGCTCATAAATATGGCTGCAAGTCAGATATCACCGATTCAGAATTTAGAGAAGAGTCTATTGCTACTTTTGAATGTCAACACAGAAGATTATAGAATTTTTGCTCGGTAATCATCTTTTTATCGAGATGTTCTACGTGTATAGCCAGATCTTCCTCTTCATATTTTACACAGTGCACAGCGATACAGTCCAGGTCTCTGGTGTCTAGAAAAGCTTCATTAACTCAAGGAGGCTCACTCTTTGGGGAGACTTGTCAGTTGAAGATTTATTGTGCGCTGGTACAAAGCTGCATTTTCAGCATTAAGCAGCGAACATTATGAGGTTTTTTTTTCCTTTTTGTCACCATGGGAGTATATGCTGACATTTCTTTTCAAATTTAATTTTAATATTAGAAAGGTAGAGGATAGATACTGGCCTATCACACATGCAGACAGCATTAACTGTTTAATTGTATTTCTCTTAGGTAAAGTAGTGTTTGGAGAACCAATCGCTGCTGGACTTGGCACAGATGGTACAAATTACTGGCACACAGATTGGTGTCATGCTGCAGCTCATGTGATGGGACCACCCCTTCGCCCAGACCCAACTACACCAAAATATCTCATGCAGTTGCTGGCTAAGTAAGTATGACGAGCCCTGGGTATTTGACTTTAAGTGCAACAGCAGCTTGAAGCAACTCAAAAGAGTCCAGGACCACCTAGAAGCAATGTATAATCCAATCATCAGTGTCTGAAAAGCCACCACTGCATATGTTGTTTATTCATTACTCAGGCTTTTAGGGTATTTCCATGTATTGCCTGTTCATATATACTAGCTGCTTGAACAGTGAGAATATTTGTGACTAAAAGGTAATTGAAAGCAACAAAATTGCAAAATGAATGGCCAACATAATTCCATTTTTGAGATATGATAAAAAACTGCAGTAGATGCTGATTGAACTGACCTTTTAAGTGGCATTTCGGTAGATTTGGTTACTCTCCACCGCATTTTGTATCAACTGGTCACTGAGAATGTGAAAATGACTAAAGCTGAAAGCTTCTTGGAAGGCGCAAAAAGTTCTACAGCAGCTTTTCTCAACATTTTTATCCCAAAGTAACCCTTAAAATAATATTATGGTCTAAGGGAACCCCTGCTAAAACCAATTCACTAAGACACTGTGGGGAAAAATCCCACTTCTATTGGTTGCTATAGGGAAGATTCCCCCTAACAATTGTGGTCACCCTTACAGACAGCTAAAAAGATCATTAGTGTCATGCAGTTGGCTCTACCAAACGGCCTTGAAGCTGGAACTTTGAAGGCATCATAAAATGGGAGGTCAATCAGCCACAGCTAAGAGACCCCTAGCAACCTTTTGAGGAACCTTAGAGTTCCACAGAACCCTGGTTGAGAATGGATTATTTAGAGAATGGCCAGCAAGAGGTTTCAGTTGACCATATTAAAGTGATCTGGTGCAAAATCAGAAGGCAAATACACTTTGTTAGGGAGTGTCGTATTTACAATATTAGGCAAAACTGTTTGACTTAGACCTCTACTAGGGATGACATTGTTCCCTAAAACTGCTGCTCCTATCAGTTCCAAAATTTTAGGTAGAAAACGAAATATCACCTCTTTAGCTCTAATCAGTTGCCTTAAACCTACACTATGAATAAGACACTTCACACGGTGACAGCTGGTATTTGTGTGTGTAAGAGGTATTCTGTACATTGTGTGATCCTTTCACATCGTGTGAATATATCAAGGTAGGAAAATACAATTCTCTGATGTTCTTCCAGGGAGCACAGCACAGCTTATTGGAGCAGGAGCTTTCGGACAAACTCCAGTATGCAAGTGCTGGGAGGAGAAATGGGTTCCAACTTTTCCATTCCATAATATCCTAGGCTCATAAAAAAGAAGGGAAAAAGGTTCAATGCTAAAAAAACCCAATTAACACTTTTACATTGTGCCTTTTAACCTGTAAAATGTTTCTGTGCTTGCCCCTTCAAATACATCAGAATAAGGGAAACCTCTGTTGGGAGCATATCCATTTTGCAGGTTAAACTAGGATGTGCTAAAATAGAAGGGTGGCCACACACAGCAACAAGAATTCATCCTTCTAAGTATATACCCTTATAGGCAGGTAGATGTCAAGGGACTCAATGAAAATCACATTAGGCAAAGTCTACCCTAAAAGCTAGCCACAGTGGTAGATTAGACAAGGGATTAGCGCAATGCTTGGTTCTGACATGAGCCTGCACTGAACACGGCTCATAGCTGCAAACTATCCCTGATTTTTAGGGACTATCCCTTTTTTTGGAACAAAGTCCCTCTTGCCTCCTCGTTTGTCCCTCACTTTGGTCTGATGTTTATACCTGTATCAGAAATGCACTTTGTACCTATTAAAAGGTGCTTTAGAGTACTATATCTTTCATTTATTCTAAATTTTTCCATTTGTTACATAGTTATGTAGTTGGTAAGGTTGAATAAAGACATCAGTCCATCCAGTTCAACCACGTGTGTTCATGTCAATACCATTTCCCATATCCCTGTATATTACATTCACTAGGATGCCTAGCTAAGAGTTTTTTTTTTTTTAAATTATCAATACTTCCCACAGACACCACCAACTGTGGAATGGAGTTCAACATCCTTACTGCTCTGACAGTAAAGAACCCCCTATACAATTTAAGGTTAAACAGCTTCTTGTCCAACTTCACTTCTCTTCTGTGACCTGAGACCAAATAGTTTCCTCCCTCTGCTAGAATCACCATTTGATGTATTTGTATATTGCCATCTTATCCTCACACAAGCTTCTCTTCTCCAGGGAGAATACGTTAATGCTTGCAGTCGTTCCTCATAACTGAGGTCTTCCAGTCCCCTTATTTGTACATTGTAAAAGCCAGTATAAAGAAATAGTGGTGTCAAGAAAAAAAACAACTTTTGGGTTTATTTCTAATCATGTTTTGTGTATTATTTCTCCATGTAACAGGGGTGTACTCTATGCCTACATACTTTTTTTGCTAATAGGTGTCCCTGTTTCCAATCTCAGAAATTTGTGATGTGGCCCTCGACCTCAAAGCAGGGAAGTGCACCTCTATTATATCCTGCAGGTTTAGTGTGATTTCTAAAAGCACACCAAAACTTTTGAATGCAGGAGTTTCGGTGCACTTCCTGAAAGATTACCACAACTACAAGATATAATAGACGTCTATGGCAAAGCAAAGCTTAAGCCAGGAATACACGGTACGAAAATTTTAATTGATCAAATGATCGACCGATTTTCTCTTCGTTGATCAGCAGGATGTTATAACTGATAATGATATTGTGAATGAAAAATTCCAGTTGAACAACAGTTAAAAATTTGTCGTTTTTGCATGCGAACGACTGATTTTCTATGCGGTGGTATGATGGTCATCCGAAAAAAATCTATCCAGCACTATCACACATAAGCAGAAATAGAAGATAACCAGGATGTTTATGTCCAAGGATCCATAAAATTTATTCCAATGTCCAAGGATCCATAAATCCAATTTAATTCAATTCATTCCAAGGATTTATGTCCAATCTCCTGTTCTGGCCAGAAGGGCGTGGCTACAAGGTCACACGCACACTGAATCACTTCCACTTGCACAGAAGACGTCAACACTACGTATTGCTTGACGAACGATTTTTTTTTGATTAGTTAATGTGGGACACGATTTTGACCAACCACTGAATGCCGATCGGTTGTCGGATGATCGATCGGTTCGATTTTCTTACTGTGTATTCCTGCAATTACTCGCAGGAAACCCACAGGTGCACTGCACTGGGTAAACTGCAGCGCATCAGTGTGGAAGCAGTCTTATAGGGAGCTCAGGACAGTAAGGGCTTGTTTACATTTGCTGTTTGTTGGGTGGTAAACGTTGAGACATAATTTTACCACACACTCCCAACCACTGGTGTAGAGTCAGGGGTAGCAATGGTGGCCCCTATCCATGCTCCAGAGGGCCCATGCGACCTCCCTGTCACATTCTGTTTTACACTTGGACAGGAGGGGTCCTGGGGACGGCAAATACAGGAACTGATCCTCTAAATTTTCCACCTGCAACTGCTGAAATTAGGCTTTTCATCCTCTCTCTCCTGCCAGCATTCAGAGGCTGCAAGAGGAAAATGTTCACTATGCTATTAAAAAAAAAAAAAATTTAATGTTTCATTGTGACCTGCGACTGGTTACCAAATCAAGTTGCCCTCATTCTCCAAAGATTTGAGCCCCCTTGGACTAAACATTAAAAGTTTGGGCCATTCAGCATGGAGGAACATGGTAGCATCTGCAATTAAAGGGTTTGTAAGGAAGCGGGGTGTTTAAACTTGGCTTGCATTGTAATGTTGAAGATGTTTCACCACAAATCTAGTGGCTTCTTCAGTTCCACTTGAATTATGACAAGATCTGCCGCGTTATAAAATGAGTGCAGCTGAATGAGACTAGCTACTACTAGACTACCATGACCTGGATAAATAAGAACCTTCAGAGACATGTTGGATATTCTAGAACATCTGATACCTAAAAGCATACACCATAGAGTACTTGTTATCACTCTTCTGTGTCCCTTTCTGGTCCTGATTTTTTTTTTTTTTTTTTTGCTACTAAGGGGTCACTTTCCATATCATCTGGTCTACACTCTTCTCTCCATATCTTTGCTCCATCCACTGTCTTCCTGTCCAGTGAGAGTAACTCAGTAGCCAATAAGGATGCTTTTATTCCATAGAGGGATGGTTATATCGGGGTTGAGTTTACTTCCAGTAGTGTGAACGTATTTCCAAAGTCAGGGATTATCTGCCAGCAAAGGGTTCCCCCTCAATGGCATGCACTTGCTAGGTTAGCAGAGCTCTTGGAAATTTAGAGAGCGTCTCACTGCACTGCACCTGACCACCCACTTCTATCATTAAATAGCCTTGGGCTTTTTACCATTTGGCTTTTTTTTTAACAATGGCTGACAGGTTTACTTTAAGAAATCACTGCGGTTTTCATAACGCTGAATGAGATTGGTGTATATATGGCAATTTCAGATACTATCTTGGATTATCTGGAGCTCTGCTTCAAATCATTTACACAAAGTAAAGTCTGACAGTTTGACTTTCATGATTTATTATATAGAAGTTTATGTACAGTATGCAAGTTTTATAAGGTGTATGTGGACTTCTAGAAAAACTTACTTTAAAAGAGTGGTGGATGCAATAATCTGAAACCAACCTATTAATCAGGTTTTTATTGGTCCAAATGATGAATTCTGGGTTTTTATTGGTTGCCACAAGGCACTGCTTACTATTATTTATTGCACTGTAATTGTTATTAAATGAGACAAGTGATGTGGGATGCAGCGAAAATAGGTATATTTGCACTACAAATCTTTCTAACCTATGTGTTTACTGTTGTTTTTCAGTGATGATCTGAGTGTTACTGGAACAGATAACTGTACATTTAACACAAACCAGAAAGCACTTGGAAAAGATGATTTTACCAAGATCCCAAATGGAGTGAACGGTGTGGAGGACCGAATGTCAGTTGTCTGGGAGAAAGGAGTGGTAAGCCTTGAGCCTATATCACTGTACTGGTTACCTAGATTTCAGATCCCATATTTCATGACCCCTGTCCTGTTGCTGCTTACTTATTTGGCACATTAGAGTTTAATCAGAGACTCCTGGTGACTCCCTAGAGCAGGGTTCTCCAAACTGCGGCCCAATGGCCAGATATGGCCATTTGCTTGCCTTTATCTGGCCCTTAGGGCACTGTTCCTCCCACTGATATGAGGCACTATTTCTTCCACTGACACCAACAGTGAGGCACCATTCCTCCCCTTACACCAATTATGGGGCACAATTCCTTCCACTGACATTGAAAACGGGGCATGATTCCTCCCAGTGACACGAAGGATGGGGCACAAGTTCTCCCCATTGACACCAAGGATGGGGCACGATACCTCCTACTGACACCAACAATGAGGCATAATTCCTCCAACTGAAGCCAATGATGATGCATGATTTCTCCTACTGACGCCAACAATGGGGCATAATTCCTCCCATTGACACGCATGATGGGGCACAATTTCTCAGTCTGACACCAATGACGGGGCACAATTCTTTTCCCTACTGTCTACAGGAGTAATTTACTTACTACTGTTAACCCCTAAGTCTAAGTCACTGTTTACCCAACTAACACTGGGGCATTTTCTACTCCCTCTGGCCACAGTCCAGCCACCCTAAAGTCTAAAGGATGGTAAACTGTCCCTTTTCTTAGAAAGTGCGGAGACTTCTGCCCTAGAGGATGTGTTTTTTATTGTTGTAGTGCAATTAAAGATTTCACCAGCAGATGTACCTGCATATAATTTCTCACATTATTACTCTTCTTTCCAGAAAAAAAAGGTACGGTGGGGGGTGGGGGGCAATGCATGTTATCAAATACTAGAAACTACTTTAAAGTGACCAACTGAGTGTAAAAACTGAATAGACAGAGAACATAATGGGTATTCGTATGCTCCCTCTCTTCTGGTTCATGCTCCTGCTAAAATGTGTGTCATTGCTCTTGGCAAAGCTATTCCAGTTAGTGACCAGTATACACAGTTATAAAAATAGTTTTTCGTCACTCAGGAAACCACACATTTCTGGCAAATGATTAACCCTTGGCAGTCATTTGGCGTTATCATAATAAGCACTAAAATGGAAAATATGTTGCTTTTTATTTATATGTACAAGTTCATAAAATGTTATATACCACTTTTGTCAATTTTATACTTAAATAAATAAACATTTAATACTGGGTGCAACCATAAATGTCTGTTTCCAAAGCATGTTGGTTATTCAAAAAAAAAAAAAAACTCTGCCTGCATGCTAGTTTAGAAGCCTGTGTAAAGCTTACAAATCCATATGGCCTCTGATAGAAAAGAGGGAGGGGTGTGTCTCCCATCCAAGTCATGCTGCAAACTGTGTAGTCTGATCTTTCCGGCTCTTTGGTTCTACTTTACAGCTGGGTTGCAGATTGAGCCACAGCAAATGTACTTCTACTGCTTGGAGCTCCTGTCTACAGGTAGTATAAGCAAACTGTAAGGGCTTGTTTACCCCAGATGCAGATGGGTAAATTTTTTAAAAGCAGTATGAACGCAGTACAAGTGCATATGCAAGAAAAACAATGTATTTCAATGAGCCTAGTTTAAACCATTAAACCATTGGGGAGATTTCCCTTCACTTATTATCCCATAGACAAAACAGGTAGTGAGAGGAAACCTGGGGTGTCACCAGAACTAGTGTCCACATTGGGAGATTTCCCCTCTATTCCTGTTCTGGCAACAATCCAAAATTTGGGATTTTATTTTTTTTTTCACTTTCAAAGATAACGGATAAATAGAGAGGGTGAAGCTCCCCAATCGTGGAACAGACAACTATAAAAAATATGACAGGTGTTCAAATCTCTTTCAGATCTAAAACTAGAAAAGATCATTATACTTTACGCAAAACGCTGCTAGACACCTTACTCTTATTTATTTCAGGTACTTACCGGTATATAGCGCCGTCAATGTACACAGCGCTTTTACATACAGTGGGGATCGAAAGTTTGGGCACCCCAGCTAAAAATTTGTATTAATGTGCATAAAGAAGCCAAGGAAAGATGGAAAAATCTCCAAAAGGCATCAAATTACAGATTAGACATTCTTATAATATGTCAACAAAAGTTATATTTTATTTCCATCATTTACACTTTCAAAATAACAGAAAACAAAAAAATGGCGTCTGCAAAGGTTTGGGCACCCTGCAGAGTTAATATCTTGTACTGCCCCCTTTGGCAAGTATCACAGCTTGTGAACGCTTTTTGTAGCCAGCCAAGAGTCTTTCAATTCTTGTTTGAGGTATCTTTGCCCATTCTTCCTTACAAAAGTCTTCCAGTTCCTTGAGGTTTCTGGGCTGTCTGTCACGCACTGCTCTTTTCAGGTCTATCCATAGATTTTCAATTATGTTGAGGTCAGGAGATTGTGAAGGCTATGGCAAAACCTTCAGTTTAAGCCTTTTGATGTAATCCCCCGTGGATTTTGAGGTGTGTTTAGGATCATTATCCATTTGTAGAAGCCATCCTCTCTTTAACTTCAGCTTTTTCACAGATGGCATCAAGTTACCATCCAAAATTTGCTGAAATTTTATTGAATCCATTTTTCCTTCTACTCGTGAGATGTTCCCTGTGCCACTGGCTGCAACACAACCCCAAAGCATGATTGATCCAACCCCATGCTTAACAGTTGGACAGAGGTTCTTTTCATTAAATTCTGTGCCCCTTCTTCTCCAAACGTACCTTTGCTCATTCCGGCCAAAAAGTTCAATTTTAACCTCATCGATCCACAGAACTTGTTTCCAAAATGCATCAGGCTTGTCTATATGTTCATTTGCAAAGTTCAAACGATGATTTTTGTGTTGAGGATGTAGAAGAGGTTTTCTTCTGATGACTCTTCCATGAAGACCATATTTGTACAAGTATCTCTTTATAGTGGAATAGTGTACCACAACTCCAGTGTCTGCCAGATCTTTCTGGAGGGATCGTGCAGTCAAACGTGGGTTTTGAATTGTTTTTCTCACAATCCTGCGAGCTGTTCTGTCTGATATTTTTCTTGGTCTTCCAGATCTTGCTTTAACTTCCACTGTTCCTGATGACTGCCATTTCTTAATTACATTCCGAACAGAGGATATTGACATCTGAAAACGCTTTGCTATCTTCTTATAGCCTTCTCCAGCTTTGTGAGCGTCAACTATTTTCAGTTTCAGTTTTCTAGACAACTGCTTAGAAGAACCCATGGTGCTGATTGTTGGGGGCAAGGTCAAATGAGTCTGGGCATTTAAAACCTTTGAGTTTGACATCATCTGGTCTTCCCAGACGATGACTGAGAACAATCCATGACACTGGCACGTCTCAGCTTTGCAAAGGGGGCAGTGCATGCTATAAATTCTACAGGGTGCCCAAACTTTTGCAGGCGCCATTTTTTTGTTTTCTGTTATTTTGAAAGTGTAAATGATGGAAATAAAATCTAACTTTTGTTGATACATTATAAGAATGTCTAATCTGTAATTTGATGCCTTTTGGTGATTTTTCTATCTTTCCTTGGCTTCTTTATGCACATTAATACAAATTTTTAGCTGGGGTGCCCAAACTTTCGATCCCCACGGTATATATATATATATTGTACATTCACATCAGTCTCTAACCCTCAAGGGGCATACAATCTAAGGTCCCTAATTCACATTCATACATACATATACTAGGGACAATTTAGACAGGATCCAATTCACCTACCAGCATGTCTTTGAAGTGTGGGAGGAAACCGGAGTACCCGGAGGAAACCCATGCAGACACAGGGAGAACATGCAAACTCCAGGCAGGTGGTGCCGTGGTTGGGATACAAACCAACGACCCTAGTACTGCCAGGCGGAAGTGCTAACCATTTAGCCACTGTGCTGACTCTTGGTTTATTACAGTAATGGGCAGCCACAGTGATCAACGTTTTAGTGCAGCAGGACACAGAGCAAAGCCACCACCTCCAAACAAAAGTTGATATTTGTATAATATACCGCTAGATTTAGGGCTCTTGAAGGAAACTGTACATACATATATGGTAGGTGCATACTATTGCATCCAAGGTGTGGTTTGCCAGCTGTATGATCGCTACAGATACAGTTTAAGTTGAATGGTGGGGAAAAAACTTTAGCTAGTTTTCTTACAGCCTAACAGCATTGTTATTATTATTTCACTTTGTTTTCCAGCACAGTGGTATTATGGATGAGAATAGGTTTGTTGCTATCACAAGCTCCAATGCTGCAAGAATCTTTAACATGTACCCAAGGAAGGGGAAGATTGCTGTAGGCTCCGATGCAGATATTGTTATCTGGGATCCAGAGGCTACAAGGTATGATTTCCAGTTTTGTTTTTGGATTTTAGAACATGTTTAAAAATGAATATGTACTACAGTATGCCAAGACTGCATTTATAGTCAGTTATGAGATGATCCTTGATTCTTCAAAGATCCAACTTCCAAGTGGTCATTCTCTAGAACAATTGTGCCACAGACGTGCAGGATTATTCTGCCTGAACATTATTTTGTAGTCTGTATTTCTGGGAAATAACGACAACTGGAATATAACACAGGCACCTTACAGACATGAAAGTACAAAGAAAAACTTAACAGTGAAAATGAAGGCAAAAATTAAATGATACAATGTAAACTTCATGAAGAGGAACCTTCACTCTGCCCCTTATGTCACATCCATACTGACAGCTATGGGATTATCCTGATTAGCACTCCCAAAATGTAAAAGGCACAGATTTGTTAAAGTGTTACTAAACCTAGGACCCTCCATTCACTATGTACAATCCTTGTTTTATTGATTGCATGTAATATTCTAATTTTCTGAGATTGTGGATTTGGGGTTTTCATGAGCGGTAAGCCATAATCATCACAATTATGACAAATCACAGCTTGAACTATCTTGCTTTGCATGTAATGAGTCTATCTCATATATGTTTTTCACCTTTTAAGTTGCATTACTGAAATAAATGAACTTTTGCACGATATTCTAATTCTTCGAGTTTTACCTGTATATCGACTGGAGAGAGCACAATAATCTGGCAAACAGGAAGTGCAAAGCATGGCTTAAATAGGAAGTTCATGAGAGGAGCAAAAAATTTGGGGATCACAAGAAATGAGGCACAGGGTAATATTGTCTAAGGCAGCGGTTCTCAACCTGGGGGTCGCGACCCCTTTGGGGGTCGAACGACACTTTCCCAGGGGTCGCCTAAGACCATCGGAAAACACATATTTCCGATGGCCTTAGGAACCGAGACACCGCTCCTTGATCCGTCTGCAGGTGTGGGGGGATGACATGCCGTTCAGTCATCTGGACACACCCCCGGGCATCAGTCGGTGATTGGCCGCGGAACTGTAGCTCAAGAGAGGCACACAGGCGGCCAATCACCGGCGAGGAGGTGGAGCTTGGAAAGGAGGAGCCGAGCGGCACCCGCGAAGCACGAGTGAGTGAAGAGGAGGAAGCCATCTGACCGGTAAGTGTTTGTACCATGGGAGAGGGAGGGAGCGAGCGAGCCCAGGCTGGAGCAGGGGTCAGCAAGGTAAGTATCATTGGTGTCAGTGGGAGGAATAGTGCCCAATCATTGGTGTCACTATTACCAATGATGGGGCACTATTCCTCCCACTGATACCAACGATGGGGCACTATTCCTCCCACTGACACCAATGATGGGGCACTATTCCTCCCACTGACACCATTGATGGGGCACTATTCCTCCCACTGACACCAACGATGGGACACTATTCCTCCCACTGACACCAACGATGGGGCACTATTCCTCCCACGGACACCAGTGATGGGGCACTATTCCTCCCACTGACACCAATGATGGGGACACTTTTCCTCCCACTGACACCAGTGATGGGACACTATTCCTCCCACTGACACCAGTGATGGGGCACTATTCCTCCCACTGACACCAATGATGGGGCACTATTCCCCCCACTGACACAATGATGGGGCACTTTCCCCCCACTGACACCAATGATGGGGCACTATTCCCCCCCACTGACCCAATGATGGGGCACTATTCCCCCCACTGACACCAATGATGGGGCACTATTCCCCACTGACACCTATGATGGGGCACTATTCTTCCCATTGACACCAACGATGGGGCACTATTCCTCCCCCCACTGACACCAACGATGGGGCACTATTCCTCCCCCCACTGACACCAACGATGGGGCACTATTCCTAAACTGACACCAATGACGTGGCACTATTCCTCCCACTGACACCAATGATGGGACACTATTCCTCCCACTGACACCAATGTGGGGCACTATTCCCCCCACTGACACCAATGATGGGTATTCCTACCACTGACACCAATGATGGGACACTATTCCTCCCACTGACACCAATGATGGGGCACTATTCCCCCCACTGACACCAATGATGGGGCACTATTCCTACCACTGACACCAATTGGGGCACTATTCCTACCACTGATACCAATGATGGGACACTATTCCTCCCACTGACACCAATGATGGGACACTATTCCTCCCACTGACACCAATGATGGGGCACTATTCCTCCCACTGATACCAATGATGGGGCACTATTCCTCCCACTGATACCAATGATGGAGCACTATTCCTCCCACTGACACCAATGATGGGGCACTATTCCTCCCACTGACACCCAATGACGTGGCACTACTCCTCCCACTGCAAAAATTACAGTTATGAAGTAGCAACGAAAATAATTTTATGGTTGGGGGTCACACAACATGAGGAACTGTATTAAGGGGTCGCCTTAGAAAGGTTGAGAACCACTGGTCTAAGGGATCAGACAGAATGCTGTCCGGCATCTCAGGTGGCTTAGCAAGAAGAGTTACTGTCAGATGCAGCAGAGGTACAGATCCAGGCTCTGACAGAGATACAACCTGAAAGCCCATCTAGCTATGATCCCATGCAGGCCTCAGGTTTAAATAGTCCTCTAGGTACCAGTACCTGTGGTAGAGGTGTCATGCATGTACATGCATGCCGTTGTGCAAGCTTTCTTATGTGCATGCCCAAAAACATGTGCACACATGAGCACAATCTCTCTGATAGCTGACATAAGGTTCCTGAAACATAATACCAACATTTCAGGCTATATGCCGCTGTTCAGGTTGGGGATTAGATTGTTCATGACAACATTTGGGGTATTTAAAACTGCCGATAAACACACATAAGCAATTAAGTGGTGCAGTGCTTCAAAAATATAGGTTAGCTCTTTGTATCACCAGACATGCCTTACTCCAACAGAATATTATCCAGTGGCTATTTTGACAAGAGCAGATCCCCATTAGATACTGGAAGAGATAGCAGCCTTCTGTGGCTTTGCATGGAAAAAAAAGGACAGGAAGGGGATTGGTCCAGCTGTTGCAGTTTTAAGTGCTATGCACCATACATCTTGCTAAGACTGTTCCCGGGATTGTGGTAGGATCACATGTGGTACTTAATAAAGGTCATGAAAGTGGTATACAGCTGACATTCTGTACACATTGGTGACTGGTATTTAGACATTTTTCAAGAAGGCATCCAAAAACTACTAATTCTATTAAAAATTGTGAAATGATTTTTCAGTTTAGTAAGTGTAGTTATCTGAAATTTGTCTTCACATTATATTGGCACATGCCTCTGGACAGGCTTCATGTGTGTCTGTATTATATGCAGATGATTTAGATTACAGGATACAGGCTTACAGGATAGAAAAGGGCTCAGCATGAGGGTCATCAGTGTGATTTTGGCCAATAACTCAGAATCTTCAAAATTGTGTTGTCACCCTCCTTATGTAGACTTGTAGGATGGGTGTGTCGTTACAGTATTTTCATTACTCTATCAGGTTGATTTACTAAAACTGGAGAGTGCAAACTCTTGGTGCAGCTCTGCATAGAAACCAGTCAGCTTCCAGGTTTTATTGTCAAGGTTTAACTGAACCAAGCTGAAGTTAGAAGCTGATTGGCTAACATGCACAGCTGCACCAGATTTTGAACTCTCAAGTTTTAGTAAATCAAACCCTATGCCTATACACAAAATGGCTTCAACAGAGGAGCTATGAGTTCCTCTATTGTACTCCTGACCACCTTTTTTGATGGAGTGGGCATGTTGGGTCAAATAGGTGCGTGGCTTTTGTGTGCTCTGTTTTGACATTCATTGATGTCTACAATTTACATGCCCCTTATGGAGCTCTGTAAAACTACCTGAATTATTTGCTTGTGTTTTGCTTGAACAAGGCTTTACATGCTTTCCAAAATCATGATGGATAAAGTCTATCTTCTCTGATATACAGGTGTAGAAAAGAGGTCAGGATACTCTTCATTTTACATTCTGCAGTCAATATAGAATAAATTAAAATCTTGAGGGTTTTAAACTACTCAACCAAAAATCACTAAAACTGGCCATACATTGAATTTTGTCAGGTTCCTGATGAACCAGCTAAAATTGTTGGGCATCTTCCATCCCGACATTCTTCAATTAAAAAAATTAAAGGAGCTGGGCAGGAAATTTGTGATCCAACATTGACTGTATCCAACCAGATGCAGTCAATGTTCGAGTATTCTGACAGCCATGAGTGCTGACTGTCAGAGTACAGTAGCCAGCACTGCAGATTTGTCTATCCATGCTAAAGAGCGTGGATGGAGTAATTGGTTAGTTTTTTTTTTTGTTGCCTATAGGCTGAGCAAAAAAAAAAAAATGTAAGGGCTCATCAACACCAGGGGGTATTGGTACACATGTTCCAACACAAGGCAAGGCAAAAGCTTTCTAGTTCTCTATCTTGCCAGTTTGCATCACTGTGCTGCAGTGGTGCATGCTAAAAAAAACATTATGTCTTGCAGTACACAAACATTGCATTGCTCTGAAGCCAAAAGAACGCAGTGAAAAATAGATAGTGCAATGCACCATTTATAGCACATCAGTACTGTGACATTCTAGATGCTTGAGATATTTTACATACAGATACCATGTGGTTGAGTCTAAACCAGAGTTTTATGGTATTATTTCGGTGCATTGGTACTGTGGCCTTCACACCATCTGCTGCATTCTAATGCAGCTGCTGGTGTGAATGGGCCCTTAATGTGGTATTAAACCCAAAAGTAAACATTTATTATTGCAGCTTACCAATTCTTAAATGTGGAGGCTGCTTTCATTTTATTTTTTAGGCCTTCTTTTGTCTTCCACCTGGTGATCTGACCAATAAGTCTTTTTTTTTTTCTTTTAAAGAACATACTTTCCAGCAGATGTATCAATTACAGGGAAGAGACAAACCATTTACCACTGACAGGGGTGCTTACGATTATCAGCTTTTACATATTTATGTAACTGCTTAT